ACAGAGAGAGAGAGAGAGAGAGAGAGAGAGAGAGACAGAGACAGAGAGAGAGAGAGAGAGACAGAGAGACAGAGACAGACAGAGACAGAGATAGAGAGAGATTGGTTTCTTCCTTTCTTTTGTTCTCATCCCAGTCTCCCCGTCACGAACTTGCAGTTTTAATACGGCATTTTGCAATGACCTATTTTTTGAAAGAATTAAATCTGGAGTTGCATGTTGCACAACGTGTGAATGACACCATTAGAAGTGATATACCAGAAGTAATTTAGTTGACACACTTTTAACAAACTCTCCTCAAAATTCACTTGGGAAGAATGTCAAACATTACTCAGTACATAGAAACACATAATTAAATTGATAATAGGGAACATTTGGAAATATCTTTCAATGTTTTCTTTTCCTGCCCTGAATAGCCCTTTTATAACATTGACTTCTCTGAAATATTAAAATTGTGTGCAAGTGAACACAACTAGCATAAAGTGAAAAAGTAGAGTGTGAAGTAAGGCATGAAAAAAATTAAATTTAAATTAGATAATTCCTAATTTGCTCCTGTAAAATTAGCCCAATGCTCAGGAAATGGAGACTTTGTCCTTACTGCTATTTTTCCCCCCATGGAAATCCATTGCTCCTAACAGGAAATCAATTCATTTAAAGCAGGACACATTAGATGAAAGAGCAAGTGGATTTTTGGCTTGAATTGTTCGCTTTGGTTGGCTGTCCTGGTTAAGTAGACAGGCGTGATGGTTTGAATGTTTGTGTCCCTCCCTAGTTTTTGTTGAAACTCAGTCCCCAGGACATCCCATCCTTTAGCACCTTGAGTTTGGACTTCCCAGCCTCCAAATCTGTAAGAAATAAGTTTCTGTTGTTTGTAAATCACCCTTTCTATGGCATTTTGTAATTGCATGATTGGCCATGATAATAGGCAGTGGTCAAATGTCCATTTTCTCTCCTTGTCTGAAAGGGTTAAATGATCAGAAATCAAAGTTTCTGGAAAGTTGCTACAGTATAGCCAGCACTGGTACTCTCCATTCTGTGAATCCCATGGTTGAGTGCAGTCTGTGCTGGGTGGGCTGGAAGTCCTAGGAAGGCCTTTTACCTGAAAACCACAGCAAAGAATTGGGGGACAAGACTGTTCTAGATTCTACAAACTCAGGAACAATTTGCAGCAAATATATCTTACAACATCAATGCATTTAAAGGTAACCATATTTTGAATAGGCCTTAGGTTGGCCTTTTGTTTTCCAGCTCTACTTTATTGGGTTTTGCCTGCAATAAGCTTCATTACTTTGTTTTGACTGTTGGAGTGCATTGCTCTAAGCATTTCAAATCTTAGCTTGTAATAGGTTCAAGAGTAAGTAAAGAGGGCCAATGAGACAGCTCAGTGGTCTAAAGCACTGGTGGAGGCAAGCTTAGGCGGGCACAGGGGACTGCGGTTCGAACCACAGCACTACATGCTGTGCCAGCTTGGCTCTCAGGAAGGGCAGAGCTGGCAAAAAAAAAATAAGTAAAGAGTAAACATTACAAGTGAATAACTTTAAAATATATGTGTATTGATATTTTAACAAACAAATGTTAAGTTAGGTAATAGTAATAGTACACTGGAGGCAATGTATTTCCATCCTACTAGAATAAAATCTAAATTTTCTAGCATGGAATGTTAGTTAACTTTCTATGATGGTAACAATTATCTGAGATAATCAGTGTGTGTGTGTGTGTGTGTGTGTGTGTGTGTGTGTGTGTGGTGCTGGGGATCAAACCCAGGGCCTTGTGCATACAAGGCAAGAGCTCTACCCCTCAGCCACATCCTCAGCTCAACAATCAACTTCAAAATACAAAAGGTTTATTTTGACTTTCCAGCTTGGAAATTGCAGTCCACGACCTATGGACTGCATAACTTTGTACCTATGGCAGTGCAACCCGTTATAGAAGGAACACATGGCATAGGGTGTTCATTTGCTTCATGGCCATGCGCAAAAACGAGAGGAAGAGATGAACACTCCACAGTTCCCTTTGAAGATGCTGCCCCGGGCCTGAGTTTGAGTTCCCACCACCTCCCAATAGCACCACTCTGAGGACCAAACATCTTTAACACATGACCCTCTGGAGCACTATTGAGAACCAAGGCACTTGGAACAGCCTATGAAGTTCTAAGTTAGTTAGCTTTTACCTTCTTCTGTTTAAAGTCTTGGTCACACAGCTAGAAAAACAAGCAAAACTATGGGTGATCAAATTCCTTTTCCAAAAAAGAGAACACAAGATACAAAAGTTGTGATGCCTTACCTGCTTTTTCCCCTAGTACTAACACACTATCTTCTATTTCTTTGAGGCAAATCTATAGTACATGAAATTAGATAAAAGTAAAGCACCAACATACTATCTTCTATTTCTTTGAGGCAAATCTATAATACATGAAATTAAGTAAAAGTAAAGCACATCATGAACTTCATGCCAGCAAACTAATTAATTCAGATGAAATGGATGAATTCATTGTAGGAAAAACTAACCCAATCTGACACAAGGTAAGACTCAGAATTTCATTGAAATAAAATTCTACAACATAATGATTTTATTCCATACTCATCTGTCTACAAGAAAATCTTCAGGCTACTGGTGAATTTGGTAAAATAATTAAGTGAAAATAGTGAAGTACCAGTGTTATACGATCTTCTCATTAAGTCAGATGTTATGGTTAGTGTACAGGTGTCCCTACAAAGCCTCATGCAGTCGTGGGTCGGCTTCTGGAGTTTGTCATTGATTATTGTGGGTGTGGGTGCTGCCCCAGCCCAGTGGCAAGCAATTTCCATTACAATGCAAGGATGGGAGAGAGGCTTGCTAGCTGCCTGAATTGCTGCCCCTCCCTTTGTTCTTTGCTCTTTGCTACTACTGTGAAAGGCTGCTCTGTGCCATGTGCCACTCTCTTGGAGCCAGCTAGATATGGACAGAAACCTCCACTAACTGTGAACTAAATAAACCCTTTCTTCCTTAATTTTAGATATTTGGTATTTTGTCCCAGAAATGAGTAAAAAGTAACTGAGACACCAGAAAAACACTGATACTAAATTATGACAAGGATAGTAAATGAAACAATATTCCTTATGGTATAGACCTAAAAATCCTTAATAAATTATTAGCAAATTGAAGTTGGCACTATATAAAAATATTCTGAACAATAAAATCCAACAACTATATGTTATTTATAACAAGTATATATTATTAATTGAACAATCAAAAATTATTCAATCCAATTAAGCATATCAACAAAAACTGACCAGGAATTGACTCAAAGCAGGAAAAAATTTTGAAAAAATTTAATACTCTTGAATTTTTGAAAATTCCAAGCCAAACAGATTGGAAATAGAAGATAGTGTGTTAGTGCTTTACTTTTATCTAATTTCATTTTCAATTTGATAAGGAACATCTATTAACCCCCCTAAAGGAAACCCACCCTTACTGTTTCTGTCTAGTATTGTGCTAGAGCCTTAAGCAGTGCAGTATATCAAAAAACAGAAAAAGAAACATGATGCTTAGAAATTGAAAAGGCAGAGGTGAAATTTCTGAATGAGTGTCTGTCTGTGAAAATGCCCAAGGAATGGACAAAGCAGCTGCAGGAATTAAGGGATGAGTGGTCAATGTCGCAGCATGCATGGCCATATGTAGAAGGCTGATGTCT